ATTCAAGCAATAGCTCCAAATTTCTGTGTGGCCTTGTCTTACTTACATGCTCTGCATATTTTTGTATGAGCATTATTTTACTCTTTCAAGGGACTGTTTAACACTGACCCTGATCAAAACTGCTTTTCACATCTACACTCTGTGTTACCTTCAATAATGTGCTCATTTGGGCTAAAGCTTTGTGCATGACTTTAAACTGGTTTGTCACTATCATTGCAAACAGTTAGCTGTTATGAATGTATTGATAAGTCTTTGAAGTCATACAGAGCTTTGTTGCTTTTGCTGCAAAAACTAAAACAAAAAACTTCTTCTAGAGAGTGTTTTCAGTACTCTAGGTGTTCCGGACTTAAGTTCCCATATTTCTGAGCATTGGACAAAGTGGTCAGGGCTTCTGAGAGTTGGCGTCCCAAACACCTGGAGGATCAAAAGTTGGATAACACTGTTATAAAAAGTATTACACTGAAGAAGACAAGGATAGCATACAGGTCTTTCCCAGTACTTTAGGAATGCTAGTCAATTTAAAAACTCCCCCCCTTTTATTAACCAAGTACAAAGAAACAATTTCACTGGGGCCCCTTCCACACAGCTGAGTACAAACAGACATAATCTGCTTTGATCTGGAATATATGGCAGTGTGGACTCAGATAACCCAGTTCAAAGCAGATACTGTGAGATTTTCTGCCTTAATATTCTGGGTTATATAGCTGTGTTGAAGGGCCCTGGGATTCTGTCAGAAAAGCAACTGCTCTATGAGAAGTGACTTGAAGAACTGAGTATGTTTGGCCTGCAGAAGAGAAGTTCGAGGGGAGACATGATAGCGATATAAAAATATTTGAAAGGATGTCATACGGAAGAGGGAGCAGACTTTCTGCTGCCGTGGAGACTAGCACATGGAGCAATGGGTTAAATTACAGGAGAGGAGTTTTTTTTATGTGGGGCTATTTTGGGTTATTATATTTGTATTTACTGTTATCGAGGCATTGATTGTTTGCCTTTTTGTTTGTTGGACTCCATCCTGAGTCTCCCAGGGGAGATAGGGTGGGATATAAATAAAGTTTTATATTATTATTATTATTATTATTATTCCACCTGAACATTAGGAAGAACTTCCTGGTTATAACAGCTGTTCAACAGTGGAACTCACCACCTTGGACTGTGGTGGAAGCTCCTTCTTTGGAGGCTTTTAAATGGATGCTGGATGGCCATTTGTCAGGATTACTTTGATTGTGCTTTTCTTGCATGTCAGGAGGTTGGACCAGATGGCCCAGGCAGTCTCTTCCAACTCTATGATTCCTATTCAGTAAGACTTTCAATGTCCGAGCATATTGATCAGTGGATATGCCCACCCCACCCTTAATTATCCTGCTTTTTTTACTGATCTTTTTCTTGAAAACATTAATTATTCAATCAATCAATCAAACCAATGAAGGGGATAATTAACAAGGAATAATTAGAGGGAAAAAATAAGATATCAGGTGGGTAGAAATAAATGAAGTGGTTTTAAAATTGCCTTGTGTAGCAACATCATATTTTGGAGTCATTCAGAAGAATGAGAATGGAGAACTGGTACAAGAATAAGAATGGACAACTGGAGGAGATGAAACTGTTGTATGCGGCCAGGATATGTTGTGGTATGATGAAAATAACTGGAAGTGTACGTTGTGTTCTTTTGTTTTCTATAAGGAAGTGTTCTTGCAAACCAACATGAAGCAAGGACTTCTGGGAGTGTCACTAAATATCTATAAATGCATGCAAATATACACAAAGTTTTCTAGAAATTCTCACAGTTTCCAATACCATACAATTTGATCTAAACTGTGCAGGGCATTTATACTCCCAAAGGCCTGAAAAAATAGTATAGTCATATCCAAATCTGTTTCCTTTCCATTATATTTCTCAGTAATGACAGAGGGAAAAAGACTATCACATTATTCTCCAGTGCTAACTCTCTAGGATATCTGAAGCAGCCCCTTGCATAACACATAATTCTTGAAATGACAGAAGTGTACATCAAACAAGTCATAGTGAATTGATTTTAAATGTTTACTAGAATACAAGATTGCTCTGGAGAGAAGTACAAACCTCGCCTGGTTCAAAAACTTGAGAAATATCAGCACATTACAATGTGAAATGCTTTATTACACTTGTCGAAATCCGGCATGAGCTACCACAGAATTACTGTGTTTCTAATGTAACATTGCTGAAGTCATCAAAAATGTTATGCTATCTGGCACATCTTGACACACCACTGAGAAGCCTGAGATAAATAAAACATCTAAACTGGTTCCTGAATCTTAAAAAACTGCTGTCTCTATACAATTTTGCACTAGAATTAATAGAAAAAAAGTTCTGAGAGGGTATGTCACTACTCACTTTATGACTTGCCTTTGAAGAGCTCATAAAAAGCAGTAGCACAATTGGGCACTTTTGTCATATTGGCAATAAATCACAGACTAATATGGCCAGTGTCATCATTTTATTTTATATTTCGGCTCCCTGGCTTCAGTATATAAAAGTACTCAGTATAAATCTATGAAGCTACTTTGCAGACTTTGTCTGAGGTTTATCTGAATATATATGTTTATATGAATCTGTACATGTGCTGCAAATAGTGGCTTTATAGCTTTAATCTGTGGAGCCCCAGGTAGCTCAGTGGGTTAAACCCCTGTGCCGGCAGGACTGAAGACCGACAGGTCGCAGGTTCGAATCCAGGGAGAGGCGGATGAGCTCCCTCTATCAGCTCCAGCTCCTCATGCGGGGACATGAGAGAAGCCTCCCACAAGGATGATAAAACATCAAATCATCTAGGTGTCCCCTGGGCAACGTCCTTGCAGATGGCCAATTCTCTCACACCAGAAGCGACTTGCATGACAAAAAAAGCTTTAATCTATCTGCTCCAATTGCTATCTATCTATCTATCTATCTATCTATCTATCTATCTATCTATCTAGCATATATATATATATATATATATATATATATATATATATATCTTCTTAACAGAAATATTTAGCATTTTTATCTTTTCCCCAGAAAACTGAAAACCAGTGGTTTCCCAAACTACCAAATCTCATTTCAGCATCACATTGTGCAGCGATGCAATGAAGAGAGAGAGGGCCCCCCTACACAGCTATAAAACCAAGAGATTCAAGGCAGATAATCCACAGTATCTGCTTTGAATTGGGTTATCTGAGTCTACACTGACAGATAATCCAGTTCACTGTGGATTTTATACAGCTGGAAGAGGCTAGAGCTTCATATTTCCCAGGTCTTCTTTGTCTTACTATTCCACAAGTAGAAAGTCACTACTATATATTGCCCTTAAACATTTCAAAGAAACTAGGTGCGGAAACTTCACCCAATAATATCAATCAAGTCATGTCTTCTTGAAGATTCTATGTAAACAAAGTTTTACAATGTATATATAAATTTTAGCACTTTAAATTGATGCTTAGTTTTTATGCATGTTTATGGTTTTATTCAGATATGTGATTTTGAAAGACACTTCTAGAGAAAGGTAACACCGGGAAGTCAGACCGAAAGAAGAAGGAAACTTAGGATCTTTGCTTCACAATGCTTTTAATACACACTTCTTTCTTAATTAGGCACACACTATCCTATTCCCTCCCAGCCCTTGCCCTTCCCCTTCCTACCCATTTAGAATATTTTTCTTTTCTCTTTCTTTTCTTTTCCTTTTTCTTGCTATCTAAACTTTGAAAACCTCTTTTTTTTAAAAGTATCTTTTAACTGTATGATTATACAAAAAATGCTAATAGATATTTTTTTTAAAAAAAATAGAGAAAGGTAACTTGTAAAGTAGCACACAAATATAAGCAGTACATATCAGCAAGCATATATCTTTAAGATGCCAGGACTCAATTTCCTATTAGATGCCAGGACTCAATTTCCTTCAATGTACGTTTGGTTTATTCCAACCCAAAGAAGTCAGATGCACTTAAGTCTCTTTGAAATCAATGAAAGATGGTAGCTGTGATTAATTTTTTTTCACTTAATGCTTAATTTTCTTCAGATTGATGACTTTTTGCTTTTTTAATTTTTCTAAAGCATTTGGCTTTATTTTTGCACTTATTGTCAATTAGCGTAAAATAAATAATGTACTGCATTTTGACAAAACCATACAATGGAGATTGGGTAAATACTGTCCTTTTTTGTTTTCAAAACAGAATATTTAAAAAAAACCCAGAATTAACAAAAAGTTTAACTTGTTCAACCCTATATACAATGACATTTTCAGTATGTTCCTTTAAAATCAATTAGTTTACATCTAATATTTAAATTTTTGTTTCAGGTTTTTAAATATGTATTCATTGTAATATATGCTTTTATTGCTGCATTTTAACTATGTTTTAATATGTGGTTTTACAGATATCTTTAAAATTTTGAGTCTCTTTTTTTGAGAGAGAGAAAAAACAGGGAATGGAGGAGGAGGAGTTATGCCCCAAATCAAGTCAAAAGGAGAGGTGGGTAATATATAAAAACATTGTTATTGTTATTGTTACTGTTATAATTAGTAGAAGTAGTAGCATTACAGTATTATTATTTATCAATGGCTATGCTGAGAGACTATCAGCTTTATTTTTCTATCATCCTAATTTTTCTATCATGGCTACATTTTGAAAGTTCATATAACAACTCCTATGAATCTGTTTATTTATGAAGGTAGAGTACAAAAAGGAGAAAATCTTATTATTCTGAGTGTACCATTATTCCCACCAGCAATGCAATTGACAAATCAAAGTTAGGTAAGGATCCAAATTACAGTTAATAGCTAACAAGCAATTAGGAATAAAAAAACCTGGTCTCTCCAAGTTGAAGAGCCAGCTCAAGTTGAAACCTGCACTTGAGGCTCAAAAGAAAAGACTGGGCAACATTTCAAAAGAGCAGCATTCTACAAATGGACAATGAAGAAGGTACTCACTTGAAAACTGAAGCTGCAAAATGAAACAAAAAATGAAACAGTGTCCTGAATTTTATCTTACCTTGTTTGGATTGATAGCTGTGATAACCCACACACACTGTGCATTACTGTCATACTGGAATGGGAAGTTGGGGGATGTGAAGGTACCACCAGGACCCTGAAGATTAGATCCACAAGTCTTTACTGTAAAAGAAAGAATTGACATTACATTTCCTGAAGCTTGTCGCATTTTGTTCTACCTGAATCACATTTTCCCACATATAGGTTTCTGTGTAAATCTGCATGATAGGGCTCTAATTTTCATGCTAGATGACAAAAGTTCTGATACTCTGCCTTGTAACAGCAGATGTTTTATGTCCTTCATATATCTCAGTTTAATTTTGCATGCATCAAACATTTTGGGCTCAATCGGTTACTTTTAAGAATAATATTAAACTGTGATTTAGATCAGGAGAAATTTTAGAAAAGTAATAAAACATGTTGGGTATCTGAATGATACTTTCATCTTTTCATCCACAAATGAAACATCATTTTTTTTCATGATTTATTTTTCCACATTTATGGTATGTCTGGCAGCTGCTTCTGTTTATAGAAGGATTTCAGATATTCAATGAATTAAAATAATATATTCAGAAGTCATGTACCATAGTCACTTTTGTCATTGCCATCTGTTACACCATGTAAAAACTGCTGTATTTTTAATAACGAAAAATACTTCTTACAAATCCAGAATGTAATGAAATTTGTATTAGAGTAAACAGATCAAGATTCATGCATAAGCTTTGCATAATTATTCTGATGTTTGTGCATTATTCAAATCACAAAAATGCGTATTTCTTTTTTAAAAAACCAGGATTATAGAATGGAATACAAGGTAGAAAAGTGTTTGCAATAAAACTTTATCTTTAGTTTTTTAAAATAGCTCAACAGATGAACAAGGCAAACCTAAAAATGGTCATGATGCCTCCAACCTAATTTATCAACACTGATATATTTAGAGAGACCATCAACAATGATGTCTATGCTTTAAACCAAACATATATGCCTGTTGCATAGTGCAGTCTTATGAGAATATTTTCCATTAAAATGAAAATGAATGCATATGAAAGTCAGAGAATTATGGAATTACTGCCAAATGTTTTCTTTTTATTAATCTGTTTAAAATGTTACACAGAAACCACATCTATTGAGATACGATTGGACATTCCACCCTGTTTGGGCGGCTCTTTGAATGTGCAATAAGGTCTCCTAATGTAGCAAAATGTCTGGTTGCTCTAAACACTTTGACTTTGCTCTTGGCTAATGCTATAAAAAACCATAATTTATTGATAACAGTGGAGGAATGAGGGGGTGGCACTCTAAAATTATAACCAATGCCTTTCACTGTTCCACAAACTGACATGAAAATCACAAACTTGTTTCACAAACTATTAGGAAAATGATATTAGTGTTTAAAATGACAAGCCGGATTTTGAAATGTTACATTGGAGGCTTTAAAATGCTAAATCCTACCTTTAACAGATAACTAATGTCTTACTTTAAGAAACCACACTTGATGTTTTGGATAACTTTTCAAGCTCTTTATAATCTATTTGGTACCACACTATCACTTAAAAAATCTTTCTTGACAAAATTTTCATTACTATAAAGCCGGAATTTCCAGGTAACACTTCATTTTATCCCACAGTTTTTATTCTTTAATAAGGACTTCTTCACATGGGATTCTTTTAGGCATCAGCAAAGGGGTTTTTAAAGTTTGACCATGGAGCTCCCATCACATCCAGTACAACTACTTCTCAGCCGGCTCCATGGCCGAACTAGGGAAAAAAAAACCCTGCCACCACCAAAAATAAGCCAGTGGCGGACAATGGGAGTCTCCTTGTTTTTTCCATTAGGAAAGATGGGTTGAGTCAGAGACTAGTCAATTCTGGTGTTGCATGTGACAAGGTGGTCAGATATAATATTTCAGTGAGGAAATTTAAATTTCAAATGCCAATGCATTTATTTATCTTTATTTATTTACAGTATTTATATTCTACCCTTCTCACCCCACAGTGGACTCAGGGCGGATTACAATGTACATATACATGGCAAACGTTCAATGCCATAGACACACAACATATATAGACAGACACACAGAGGCTTCTTAACATTCCAGCTTTTTGGTGAGGGCAATGTATCACTTCGTTGTGAACTAAATAGAATCTTCTCCATGCAGTAATCTTTCTCTTTCTTTTTCTTTTGGTGCAATCGTTTCTCAAAACTCAGGCAAAAGGTGGACAGAAATGCTGAATCATGAATTTGGACCAAATTTATTTTTTAAAGCTGAAGTCAAGAGGTAATTAACAGTTACAATCACTATATTAAGTGACATGTTACAAAAATGCAACTCAGCAAATGAGTTTCAACAAGTATTGTGAAATATATGACTTTGAGAAATGACTTAGGAAGGCTATTTCTTCAGATCTTACTGTTAATTCCAAATAAAGTAAATCTACTGAAAAAAATCACTGAATGCAGATATTCATTAATCGGTCTTATATGGTTGGGACTGACAAACAGTTTCAGGTTAATATGTGTACTAGTTTTTAAGTACTGTGGAACCCCTTGTGGAACTACTAATAAACTATATTTCTGTTATGCAGCTTTCATAGTCAATTTCTGTTTGATCATCACTCTTTTGATTGTATTGGTTTAGGTGTGTAGTATGCAACCAAAATGCCCAATCTCTTAGTCACATCTTAACAAAATTGATACTCAAGAATACAGTGGCATACTACTGGCATAGGAAGAGAAACTGGATATGAAATCATCATGTATAGAATTGTAACTATGCACTTTTATACATGTGTACTCAGAATCTGAGTACCATTCATTTCATGCCCAATGAGCAATTTGCTCCGCAGTCAAATTTGTTCCCAAGTGAGTAAATACAGTATTTCAGACAAGTTATTTTCATTAATGACACCAACAGAACTAAAGATTTATTGCATACCTGCACTGCATGTGCAATCACAGACAGAAAAGGAGTAATCTTTTCTGCCTTTGATTTTTAAAAAGTACTTTTGTAGAGCCCAATCTACTAGGTAAAATATGCAACCACCAATTATTTTATAATTAATAAGCCTACTGCTGCATTTTACTGTTTTTAGTCAATGAAGGATGCCATTACAACATGTGCACTGAATGATGGAAGATTTTTTATGATAAAAAATTGTATCTCAATTTTAGTTCATGGGTGTATGTGTTGGGGGGAGCAGAAAATACTACTTTAGCAATCCTTTCAGGTGAAATTTAATTTGATTTTCATTAATAGGTTTTAAATATTAAAATAATATTTTATGAATCCATGAAAATGAAGTATTTTATGATAGGGTTATACATCAGGATACTGTGAGTTATGCCAACCATTTAAAGCAATCCAGTATTATTCTAAATTCTTTGCTGGATGGAGAGTGATTCAGAATTTTGCTCTAGTGGTGCTATCCTTATATTGAGTTTTCCACAGAATTCTGTACTATCATTTACTATATAAATGTAGACACAAGCAATTCACTCCTTCCCCCCATAATCATGTGCTGATCTCACTCCATTATGAACACTGATCACATTTTGCAAAATATTGTTTCAAAGTAAACACAAAGCATGAAAGACTTGAAGTGTGAAATAATCATCTCACTGTCTTCACATATTCATGCAGTTTCATCAATTATCAAGTGAGCAGTCTCATTACAAAGTGTTTTGCTGTTTCTCAAGCTTCACTCCATTAGCCTCAACCTTACATATTATTAACTATCACAGTGCATATCAATTTCTTAAAGTCTATCTGATTACAACAAATGAGGCTTCTTGACTTTAGAACTTGCAATGTGTAACTGTTGGAGGTCTTCAAGGACACCAATCCCATCCATATTTTATTTCTTGAAGAGAGCAATTTATGTTGGCTAAGTTTAAATAAAATTCTCTTCTTATGCTTGAGAAGTTCAATTTCATTGCTAGTACCATCATTATGTTTAGCTTGCTAACAGTGCTTCCGTTTTGTTGGTTTTGAATTAATATTTTTAAAGCACATCACAAGCACTGAGATTTCATTTTTTTTGTCATTGCGCAGGAATGAAATGAATTCCAATAATAATAAAAAAAGTAAACTCTTTATTTTATTGTAAAAACTTTGGTATATATTCACTTGCCTTCTTCCCCTTTCCTTCTTCCTTTTGCTTGGGAAACTTAGAAATTCTTAAATATAGTCTCATGCAATCTATTTTTTCCTGCTCCAACAAGACTTTGATGATGATCTTTTTGGGGGGTGGGGGTCATGGTATCCAGATGTTGTACTGGAATTCCCAGTACAATACCTGGACACCGTGACCCCTACCCCAAAAGTCCTAAAAAACCCTTTAAAAGTAATGAAAACTTACCTGGCCTCCATTACAGTCTTGAAGGAGCTCTCCCGGTGCATAGCAATGATGCATCAGGAGAGCAGCGGGCGGGAGTGATTTCTCCATTTTCATTACTTTTAAAAGGGTTTTGTGGACTTTGGGGGAGGGGGTGGGAATTGTGTCTGGACTGCAATCCAGACACCAGAAGTAGTGGGTTTATCCTGTGCCTCTCAAGAAGGTGCCGAATAAACCCACTATCTAATTAATTCACCACAAACCAGGGTTTTCCTGGTTTGTGGTGAATTAATTCGGAATTGTCCAGAATGTCATCTGAACAGCCCCCTTTTTATTGTGGAAGTTTCTACAATAAAGGGGCTGTCTAGATCTGGCCTCAGTGATATGGGACATATAGTGTTCTAGATGCATCTACTTTTCCTCAAAAAGCCGAAAGGAATTGAGAATGCCTCTAGACCATGGCCATATAGCCCGAGAAAAATCCTACAACAACCCAGGAATTGAGATGTCACTATGCAGTTCTAAATCTGAACAAAAAAATCTATTATCTCTGAAGTTTTTTCCATATAAATTTTATTTGTCTAGTTTATTAATTATATTTCAGAAAATTTTAATATTTTAAATCCTGGATCTACTGCTGCAATTGAAATATCTCCAATATCACCTGCAGTTTTGTTGTGAAAATCATGGAAGTCATATTAGTGTGTTTTTCCCCTAGAGTCCACTGCACCACCCAAAAATCTTCTCAAAAGGATCCCCAGCCTTCTGGTACAATTCTCAGGAATGTACAGATTGGGAAAAGTCATCCTCCAACCTCTATTAATGAAGAACATATATCAGTGGATTAGTGTACATATGTTATCTATGTGTTCTCCAAAACATAGTAAAATAATGCTAAATTACTTTATCTCTATCATCTTAAATACAGTACTGTAAACTTTTTAACAGCTTACTTGTATGCAATATTTATTTAGAACTAAATTTAATAAAATTAATCTAATGAAAATTTAATCTGTAATCAAAGGGGAACTGACATTTTTTTTAAAAAAACAACACAAATGTTGAATTTTAAGACCTTACTGGGTGAAAAATTTGCAGAAAGAACTATTTTCAAAGAAAATTTGTCCTTCATGCTCAAAGCATTTCTCTGAAGAATCAATATTTTTGTACTTGCATAGAAAAGTACACATGTGAACCATATCTTCCCCTCTACCTGATTATCCCTCTGTGTAGTCTATTTCTGAAATCAAGCCTGCAATATTGAACATCTCATTAAACATATTAGCCTTTGATTATCTAAACTGCTAATGAGAATTACTGTACTGAAAACTGTGTAGGCTCATTCTTTTTTAAAAAGAGGGAATCTAATATTTAGACTACTTCAGAAAATAGAAAATCACACAATGTGGTTAATATTTAGAGTCCAATCCCATTCTTTCTGTTGCTGATAATTCCGCAGTAATAAAGAGATGGTGTACAACATTTGCACTTCCCAATATAAAGTTGCAAAGACATGCATAAAAATCTTCTGCCATCAATGTCTGAAACACCATTTAATATACTTATCACATGTGGAGTGAAAGATTGTCTTAATCTGACATACATTATCCAGGGATAGTATGGTAGTCATAACATACTAAATCCACAAAATAGTGATAACTTTATTGGGCCAATGATTTAAAAAAAATGGATGTTCTCTACATAAGAAAGAGGTTGGTAGCCTCATTCAGGACAGAAACAGCCTAGATTTCAAGGGAATTTGTTTTGTTGTAGTTGTTGTCCTTGCTAATGGAATTTATGGCCTGGATTTTACACCTCTTGTCTCCCAGCATTCACATGGCCAAAGAGAGAGGTGACCTCTGCCAACATGAATATCCCTCCAGACCCTCTTAATTGACAATAAAACCAACATTTTGACAAAATGTAGGCCCGTGACTCTATTATATTAGAAGTAATTTCATTCAACAATAAAGTGAGTTTTAAATGAATTCAGCTGTGTCAGAAACACAACACATTCATAATAAATCTTCGTGTTATTTAATACAGTAGGTTTCTTTTTTTAAAAAGAAGGAATGCACTTTTTAAAAGCACTAAAACACATGGAATTTTAAAGTAGAAAAATATGTTCTGCTATGCATTTATGGATAATGTGGCAAAGACACTGCATAAAAAAAAGCAGAAGCCTGAATGGCTATTTGTGGTTTGGATAATCCACTCTTAAGGTGAACCTAGTTTGATTTTGGTCTCAATTGGAAGTCAAGCAATGTAGGGCTGTTGTAGGTTTTTAAGGCTGTATGGCCATGTTCTAGAAGCATTCTCTCCTGACTTTTCACCTGCATCAGGTGCTCTGCTATGGCTGACTTCTCTGGTTGAAGTAGTCTGCAGTGCCTTTCATGTTCCTTGATTTGTGTTTGGGCGCTGCGTTTGGTGGTCCCTATGTAGACTTGTCCATAGCTGCATGGTATACAGTAGACTCCTGCAGAGATGAGAGGGTCCTTCTTGTCCTTTGCTGAATGTAGCATTTGTTAGATTTTCTTAGTGGGCCTGTAGATTGTTTGTATGTTGTGTTTCTTCATCAGCTTCTCAATGCAGTCAGTGGTTCCCTTGATGTATGGTAAGAACACTTTTCCTCTGGGTGGATCTTTGTCTTTACTCTCATGGCTTGTTTTCTGTATTGCAGCTAGTCTCTAGTGGAGTATCCATTGGCCTGTAAGCCCAGTTTAGATGGTTCAATTCATCTTGGAATTCTTGGGCTTCTCAACCAGAGAAGTCTGCCATAGCAGAGCACCTGATGAACCAACCTGGGCATAGCATATTATTTGAGAACACAGAAATGCTGGTCCACTCTAACAACTACCATGTCAGGCTACACAGAGAAGCCATTGAAATCCACAAGCATGTGGGCAATTTCAACAATAGGGAGGAAACCATGAAAATGAACAAAATCTGGCTACTAGTATTAAAAAGGCTTTAAAATTATAACAGTAAATAAAGAATAAAACTCAAACACAGGGAAACTCCAGAGAAGAAACAATCAGGAACAGCTAATCACTTCTCAACAAAGGATTCCCCCAGGCAGTAACAAGGCATGCCTAAAAACTGTCAGGCCATCAAATGCTAATCAAAGTGGCCAATTGAAACAGTCACACCTCTCTCCAACAGACAAAAGTTCTTTCTCTCACTCTGGACTTTCCACAGATATAAACCCCATTATCCTAGTTTCCAACAGATCTCACAACCTCTGAGGATGCCTGCCATAGATGCAGGTGAAACATCGGGACATAATGCTTCTAGAACATGGCCATACAGCCCAAAAAACCTACAGCAGCCCAGTGATTCCAGCCATGAAAGCCTTCTTACAATACATCAAGCAATGTAGATGGGAGTGCCTGAGATTTACGTCTCAGTAAGTGACTAACTAGGGAACAACCCAAATATTTGGACTGCCCTCAAGGCTCAGGTGCTTCACCCAAGGAGGTTGTTTCATGTGGTTATATAATCCTATTGCTGGTGTTTTTAATCTCAAAGCAAACGCTGAAGTTCTGAATTCAGTCCAATGGATGCTATTTTAAGAGTGCAAATAATTAATTAAAGCAAATGACAGAATAAATTGGGATGTCTCTGCAAATTAATGAAATAGACTATCCAAGTAATTCAAACCTCTTTCTATCTCTTGTTCTAATTACCATATATTAATTGATGTCACCTGCTGTAGAAAAAAACCCCACTCTAATCTTAGTGGCTCATTACTGATTGGCAAGTGAGGAAAATTTACAGACACTTTTCATCTAAAGAAACTTCAGTTCACAAATTTATCTTTGATGCTCAATGATTCGATAGTTATTTTCCCAAATTAAGTTTTCAAGGTTAACAATCTTCCTGACTAATTGAGGTTATTATTTTTCTCACATTCAAAGTGTAAGAAATCATGTATGGTTGCTTGAAGAAAAAGTTAAGTGATTATCTCTTGAATGGGATTTGTGAGAAAGAGAAAAACAAATTCATTTTTTTAATGTCAGGAGTGACTTGAGAAACTGAAAATTGCTTCTGGTATGAGAAGATTGCCCTGCAAGGATGTTGCCTGGGGATGCCTGGATGTTTGATGTTTTACCATCCTTGTGGGAGACTTTTCTCATGTCCCAGCATGGGTAGCTGGAGCTGACAGAAGGAGCTCAACCCACTCTCCCCAGATTTGGACCACTACTATAACAAAAATGTAATGAAAGTTCATTACTTTTGTTATGAACTTTTATAACAAGAGTAATGAAAGTTCAGATTTTGGCGAACAATAGAAATTAAATGATGGTGCCTCCTAATAATGTAATGACTTTTGAAACTTTTTTTGATCAATCACACAGCCCAAATAGTTACTGTAACATAAAACGGTGTCAAGGCTTCGTTACTTGAAGGACCATAATTCTCCCATGTGAACTGGATTGTGCTTTGAGATCTTCTAAGGAGGCACTTCTCTCGGCCTCACCATTCTCACAGGTACATTTTTTGGAAAAAGATCCTGATCATCCAAAAATGTTCCAGTTAGTCAATAGCTTAATTAAACTGTTTTAGCCCAAACTGGACACACAATTCCAGGTTAGGTCTCAACAAAAGAGTGACACTTTTACTTGTCTTGATTGGGACATCTCATGTGAAAAAAATATTCAGAAGTATTTGAAAATGTTTTTAAAAATCCAGCACTGTCCACTTTTGTAATTTAAAAATAATTAGAGAAAAATTGTAAAAGTAATTTGAGTTCTTACTTGGTAGCACTGACATATGAATGTTAGAATTCATTGCAATACAGCAGCTCTGTTAAGAATGTACAGAAATAGTAAAGTGAGATAGAAAAGCAGCTTTACATTCAACAACATACACACACACACACACACACACACACACACTTGTCATGAAAACCTTGTCATTGACTAAAATGGAAAACTAGAAACAAAATGTGTGTATCTCTCACATTTTTACCTTTGCACACAGGTCTATGATCACTCCATGCTGCAAAAACTTCTGCTATTCTTTGACAAGTGATACTTTTTGCTCCCTGAAGCACATAGTCTTCATCACAAGAAAACTGTACTGTTGCATCCAGGCTGAAATCAAACATAAAAAGCAGAAATAATTATAATTAACAGTATTTTCCCAAGGATTTTGCACCATAATATTCTCTTATTAATGTCAAGAGTGTGTCTGTATGCTATTGTCATAAGGAATGTAATAGCTGTGGTTGGAATGCTGAAAATAATAAATATTCCCCATGTTATTTTAAATATTTTATGCCATTTTTTTCAATTTAGCATATGTACAAAATAGTTGTAGATTACAAAATATAAGCATACATTGGCTAGTTTACATTTCTTTAACTAAGTATGAATCAAACAAGACAAATTTGTGATCTGATTCAGAAATTAGAGAATCCACCTTACCATAATATACCTAGAAATGTAAAAATAATGCTTTTAAATATAAAGAAGATTAGTGAATAGCAGATCTGATGAATGTTACAGTAGACTACATCTTCAAGCTCCTTTAAACATTCTGATGAATGTTACAGTAGACCACGTCTTCAAACTCCTCCTAAAGACTGCCAACTCTGGCAGTCTTTAGGAGGAGTTTGAAGACATGGTTGTTCCAGTGTGCCTTCCCAGAATAATGTTCCCATAGCACTTTGTCCTCCAAAGCACTTTACATTTTAGGTCTGCTTGTATGTTTTCCAAACACCACCTTCACCTTTTCGCCCATGCCCTGGCATTACTTCCAATTTTAACTTTACATTTGGCCTACCCACAGTTTTAATTGTGTGTTGTCTTATTTATTAATTGTTGCATATTTTATTGTCTATGTTTTTATTTTAATTGCTTGTATTGTTGTTATTATTGCTTGTATTGTTGTATTTGGGCTCGGCCTCATGTAAGCCACACCAAGTCCCTTGGGGAGATGGTAGCGGGGTACAAATAAAGTGTTGTTGTTGTTGCTGTTATTATTATTATTATTATTAGATATTAATATTCTCTTCAATGGGTATTGCACATCTCTTTTGAGTAGCTCATTTTTTAGTATTAAGATTATTTCCCAGGGAGGGTGGCTACATGTCAATTCATCCACCACCTTCCCCCCCCCCCAATTGCATCATTTCTTCATGCTAGGTGGATGTAAGGAGCACCTTAATGGCAGCTGGGTAAGTTTTTTAAAAAGTTTTAAAGGTTGTTTTGGGGGCTCGGGGTACCATCTCAAACCTTTGGCTCCAGGAGCCCAAAAAGGTTTGGAATGACAAATGAGGGCTCATCCCCAGGTAGTTCTGGGTAGTCCTGGAACTGCCTGGGGGTGAGTCCCAACAGGCCCAATACACCATTAGACCTGCACTTTTCAGAAAGGCACAGGTCTAATAGGGCATTAATTCATAATAACTGAGAGATTCTGGATTAATTCATTTTTACCAGGACCATCAGTTGGATGCTCCTGGTAAAAACCCAGATAGGTCTTGGTTTTAACGCCTGTCTGGATGGGCTCCTCAGTGGCCCAGAGTCCAAGGAGTTTTACTTTTGTGAAATAACTGGCACTCTTTGGCATAGAAGGCTAAAGAACAGGAATCTTCATTTCTTCTAGTCCCAGTGATCTTAGGGTGGCTTGCAATCTCCCCTTCCCAACCTATAAGCTTCTAGAAAACACATTTTATGTAACTCAAACCACTTGAAGCATTTATTTGCCTCAGTTGAAGAGGTGCATCTAGTTGCTGATTGAGGAAATCTAGGGGCTTAAGAGCAAAAGACATTTGTCCAAGTCCTGAAGCCATCAACTGCATCCATTGTCAGCTGTAGAAGAAAACTGTCTTTGTTTTTATTGCTGCATCAATTCACAGCCTACTTATAACCAATAAAGCTGTATTTTGGAACATCAATTTCTTTGTTTTAGTTCAGTGTATCCTTGAAATCTAATATAGCTAGTACCTGAGTGGATCAGACTCTGCAGCATATTACATAACCTTAATTCAGGTAATCAAAGAAGCTTTAAGTTTCCTAAGATTTTTGATCCTATACCTTACATTAACCAAAATTAATTCAGCTCACTAACTTGTCCTCAATCTAACTAACCGGTTTTTGAGAAAAGGGATTAATACAAAATCAAACCAAGGTGGTGTCATTTTCTCTTTGTAAATAAATGGTGATCTGTAAGCTAATTATTGCTGAGGTTTCCAAATTAGGGAGTTGTGGAAGTCATTTCAGTCTGAGTTTAAACTTTGCAAACAGCATGCTATGCTTACAGAAAGATCCTGAATGATACAGTATATATAACATCAAACCATATAGTAAGTATTTTTCTGCAATAGCTATCCATAATAATTTCTACATACAGAAACTTTATCCCCAATATGCCTCCAAACCACTTAATGTTCAGAGTTTCGGAGAGTTTATTGATATGGCCATTAGGTTTAAACCTATAAATAAATCTTTAAGTGAGCCAATCTCGGTGAGTAACCTTAACGACATTGTATTGGTTTGAGATCTCCTGAAATATATTATTTAAGGAGGAACAAGTCAGGTGACTGGACCATCTAGCTGACAATATGAGGAATTCAGAATCTGTTTTTGCTAAGGGATTGAATTACTGTTGTAGATCTGGGCAAAGCTAAAGACAAGGGAAGGACTGATACAAAGAATATGGCCAAGTTGGATAGAACCAGACCATAGATTCAGACATGTCTACCAAAAGGAAACCCCAAGAAAGAAATTCCTATGCTACAATTAAACGTTTGTTCTGTGCATACTATTAATTGTTTAATTATTTTTAAATTATCCTGGATCACTGGTAAGAAGTAACAGCTTTCAATGAAAGTGGTCTTACCCAGTTTGCCAGGGAATGAGTTTACAGGTATTACACATTCTTTTGTTGTTGTTGTTGTTGTTGTTTAGGAAAAAAATGGGGGGAACAACAACTCCATCCCTTTCCCAGTTATAATGTATACAGGAATACAATTGATGCCATCCAGTTCCCTCCAGTATCTTTCACCATCTACTCATTTTGTACATCTTCATCCCAATGGCCCTAAATTCTAAAATTGTTAAGTGCAGATACACCAAATGTAACAACGCAGATTTTCATTCCATAGAGAAGACATATTTTTCTCAGTAACTACAACTTATTTCTTCAGGAAGATTATGAACACCTCACATATCCTATTAACTCCAAGGAAGCTCCTACCTCACTCCAAGGAAGCTCCCCGGATCCTGCCTGGCAGCTGTGATGGACTGGATGAGGGCTAACATGCTAAGGCTTAATCCAGACAAGACAGAGGTCCTTCTAGTCAGTTGTGAGGCCAATTGGGGTATAGGGTGGCAACCTGTGCTCAACGGGGTTACACTTCCCCTGAGAACACAGATCCGTAGTTAAGGGGTCCTCCTGGACTTACTGCTCAGGTGTCAGCAACGACTGGGAGGGCCTTCCTAAAGTTAAAACTTGTGCGCCAGCTGTGTCCGTACTTCAAAAAGCCTGACTTGTCGATGGTGGCCCACACCTTAGTTTACATCTATAATGGATTACTGCAATGCACTCTACATGGGGCTGCCTTTGAAGACGGCTTGGAAACTGCAATTGATGCAAAGGTCAGCAGCCAGATTACTAACTGGGGCTGCTTATAGGGACCATATTACACCCCTATTAGAGCAGCTTCACAGGCTGCCGACAAGTTTCCAGTCCCAACTCATAGTGCAGGTCATTACCTATGAAGCCCTACAAGTTTTGTGTCCATACTACCTTTGAGACCACAACTCACCCCATGAAGCAATGAGGGCTCTAAGATCTGCCAGGGAGGCCCTCCTCTTGGTCTCACTTCTATCTCAAGCACAGGGGATAAGGGAGAGGGTGGGGTGGCTTCTCAGCTTTGGAACATTCTCCCCAGAGAAATTAGGATAGACCTCCCACACTCCAATGTTTTCGGGGAAAAATGAAAACATGGCTCTTCAAGCAGGCCTTCAAACATGATTAAACATCAGTTAATACTCCAGGACCAAGCAAATTGTCTGACTCCTACACTTTATGTGACTAAAACTGATATGGCCATATTTTACTCCTCAGCTATTGCTACATTTTATTGAGGATTTTATTTAAACTAGATGGGGTTTTATATGTTGTTTTATTTATATTTGTTTTATGTAAATTGACACTGTTATATGTATTTTATTGTACCTTGTGTATTCTGTTGCAGTACTATTTGCTTTAGTAAGCCATCCTAGTCTCTTTTGAGAGATGGTGGCAGGATATAAAGTATTATTATTATTATTATTATTATTATTATTATTATTATTATTCTAATGCATGTTTAGGTAGGGTAAAGGTTATCCCCTGACATTAAGTCCAGTTGTGTCTGACTCTGGGCATTGGTGCTCATCTCCATTTCTAAGCCAAAGAGCTGGCATTGTCTGTAGACACCTCCAAGGTCATGTGGCTGGCATGACTGTATAGAGCGCCATTACCTTCCTGCCAGAGCGATACCTGTTGATCTATTCATATTTGCATGTTTTTGAACTGCTAGGCTGGCAGAAGTTGGGGCTGACTTTTAGTCAACAAGCTTGGCAGCTCAGCAGATTAACCACTGTGCCACCGGGGGCACAGTTTAGACAGAAGTAAAATCTCTCCTCACAGTGGAACATGTTTCTAAACAATGTACCTTGAATTGAAACTTCAGACTTCAAATAAGTGAACTTATTTGGAATGTATGCTTTGATTTTGTTGGTTATAGAATTGTGGTTTATAGAGGTAGGCAGAATATTAAAAATATTTTTTTTATATAATAAACTCCTTTTTTAGTATTGAGAAACTGATGAGAAACATTCTGGAGTGAGAAGAAACCTCACAATATGAGACTTATTCTGAATTAATTTTACATGTGATTGTTTTGCACATATACACAAACAGTACTATTATTTCCTGTGCAGAAAAAGTTGTTTTTAGGATGAATCAGCCACATACATGGAATGTCTTTAATTACTGGACATGAGTACAAATCAGCCACATGTGCAGAATATCTTTAATAACTGGGTTTTCTTTAATTACAGCCTTTTCTGTTCCAGAAATAATATTTCAATGCAGAAATTAT